TAAATGCCGCTCCATCTGAAAGCAGGTGATGGAGATTTACTACTAATCACAGAACCGGCTTTACTGACGAGATGCGCTTGACAATTGCATGCGTTTAATTGCACAGCCCTATTTGGACCTATTATTAACCTGTCTGAATGAACATTAGATAGTTTAGTAGTTTCAGCATGTACTGCCATCTAAGGGAACCACGATTCATGTGGAGACAGATAGTAAGTGTTACATTATGCTGACGAGGTAAAAAAGGAAACCGGTCTAGAATCATGTGGCATCTCACCTGTCCAACTTCCTGTGCGTACAGTGCTGCCGTATTTGGCACCGTGTTGTGCTTCTTCAACTTCCTCTGTTGCTCTAACCGCTCTTTCTCTTTCTCAACAGCACGTGTGGACTCTCTCAGCCTCTCCAGGTCTTGCTGGTACGTCTGCCTTTGCCTCTCGAGTTCCTGCCTCTCCTCGGCCAAACGCAGCTCCAGTCGCCGACACTCCTCCTCCCACTCCTTCAGCCGCTGCTCAGCCGCCTCCGCCTGCCGCCGCTGCTTCTCCCGCTCCCGTTCCCAGCGCGCCTGCTCCTGCCGATGCTGGCTCTGCAGCCTCTGGAAGTTGGCGAGCTCCTCGCGGTGCTTCTCCAAGTTGCGCTGCTTTTCCTGCTCCAGGAGCACGTCTGTGCCACGGTTCCGGCTGCCGGGACGTTCCCGCTCGGCGGTGAGGAGAGAGGCCCGCTGGAGCTCAATGTGGCTGTCCTGCTGAGAGATTATGGCCTGAGGGGGAAGAAGACAGAAAGGACTTGATGTTTGGATAGTTGTTAAGAGCTTCCTGGTAACTAAGGCTTAGTTTAGCAAGTGTTGTGTACTTTCAGATGCTTGTTCTTGTATTTGCTCAAACAAGATTTGTGTACTGTATTGTAAGGTGCTTTGGTAAAGTGTCTGGTAAGAATGTAAATTTCATGAAATGTAAACAGAATGAAAGAACAAAGCAGCAAGCAAGAATGCAACTGAAAGGACAACAGAAAAAATGAATAAAAAAGGCCAAAAAAACCCCCCAAAAAGCTCAAAATAACAAACAAAAGCATAAAGGAAAAAAAAAAACTAAATACAGAAAGAAATGAAACCAAAACCAAAAGAAAAGCAAATTAAAGGACAACTGAAAGGACAAAAGATAGGAAAAACAAACAAATAATGAACAAAAGATGAAAAGAAAGAATGGGCTGTCATAAAAACAAACAAACAAACAAACAAACAAACAAACAAAGGAAAGAACTGATGAAAAAAAGAAAAAGCAAACAAACAAAACAGCAACTTAATAAAAACAGAACAAACGGAAGAAAATAGAACAATGAAAGAAATTTGAAAGAAAGAACAACTGAAAGGTCAGAAGAAAGAACAAAAAAGAATGAAAGAACAGATTGTCATAAAAAGAAACGAATGATAAAATCAACGAGAGAAAAAAATGTAGCAAAAGTAAAAAATACAGAATGCAAACAAAAACTAAATGGCAAATAAATAAAAAGAACAAATGAAAGAGAAAGAAATTAAAGAAAATCAAAAACAAACAGAAAAATAAAAACAAGAATGACAAAGAATAAACAGAAGAATGAAAGAAAAAAAGAACAAAAGACAAGGAACAAAAAAAACGACCAAAAGAAAACAGTATAAATGAAAGAATTAAACAAACAAAAATCAAACACAAAGAAAAAAAAATACAAGACTGAAAAGACAAAATAATAAACAAAGAATAAGACAGTAAGAACTAACAAAACGAATGAAAGAAAAAAAGCATAAATGAAAGAGAATGAAACAAACAGAAACCGAAAAATAAAAAAAAAATAGAACAAGAGTGAAAAAGAACAAATACGACAGCAAGAACAGAAACAAACATTAAAGAAAACGGCATAAACAAAAGAGAATGAATAACAGAACAAGCAAAAATTAAAATAAAAAAAATAAAAGAGCAAATGGACACAAAAGAAAGCAAAACTGACAGAAAGAACCAAAAAATAAATAAAAAATGAAAGAACAAAATAATGAAATGAAAAAGAACAAGAACAAATGAACAACAGAAGGAGCAACAGAACAAATTAAAAGAATGAACAAACAAGCGAATGAACAAAAGAACAAATGAAAAATGAAAACAAGAGAATGGACTAATGAACAAGAAATGTAGTTGTTGTTTAAATACAATATGACAGATGTTGTGAACACCTGAACAAGCAAATGAGCACAGCATGAGAACCCCGATTCCTCTAAAGCAGATCTTGTCATGATTATAGGATGCATGTGGCTGAGGTTATGAGTGAGACGGGAGTGTGGTCATTCTGTTGTACCTGTAAACTGTACAGCCTCTGGGACAGCAGCAGCACTCGCTCATAGAACTGGAAAAACAGGAAGACCAGGGCAACATTACTGGCAGGATGATTCAATATTCAGAGACATTATTCTCACGAGACACAATGCCACATTCCTGCCAAGTGAAGTATCGCTGCATTAACAGTCGATTAGGTGCGGTGAACGCAAAGGTTACCATCTCAAATATGTATTGAGAGGGCTGTGAGAAATAATATGTGCCTTTTATCTCATGGGAAACAAAGTGAGCCGTAATCGCCAATCCAATCCGATGTGCGCTCTTACCTCTGATTCTGGAAATTTACAGGTGGACCACATTTTGTGCAAGCTGCATGAGAAGGCCTCATCCTGAGAGAGACGAAAGATTAAAATAAATTAAAAACATTTCAATCGGATAACATCATGTATATCAACGTTTGCTAAGAAAAGCCCCCAAGTGAAGACAATTCAAAGACATTATCATCGTAGTTGAGTAATGCATTACTTTATTGTAGCAAGTAAATGTTATTAACAAGCATTAGAAAAAAAGTGTAACATTTTTATTTATTACTGAACTTTAATTTCCTTGATTAATAATTCTTTACTGTATTTAAATTATATCTTTAGGATTAATCCCACTAGTAGGTATTATATACATTGCTAGATAGTTTCTTTATAAAATTAGATTATGTATTAAACTATAATTTTTATAAACATAAATTACTATATTTACTACAATAATATAATATATAATCATATAATTGTATAATATAATCATCATATAATTATCAGATCTATAGCTTGACAGTGACTGGTATGACAGTTTAAAACTGACAAAAGTGAATTTCCTGCCTAGACCATCTGATGCCACTCTTCTCGTTTAGTAAACACTGGCATGTTCCCATCATCTGTGGGACAAATGCCTGCATGAGTGTGTTCTCTCACCAGCTCATCCCGGTCCTGACATGTGTACACCTCTTTGAGCTGTGGATCAGAGCTGGCCCGTTGACTCCTGTCCCTGGACCTGCCGGCTGCTCCGGGAACCTTCTTCTTAATACTGCCGTCTGATTTAACACACAAACACACCTGATTTACAAACTTATACTGGAGAGGTACATAGTAGACCTGCACAAACCAACCATATTCTATAACACAGGCCAGGGGGGTTGTGTGTAATTAAGCTTAAAAAAATGCATCTTGCCTTCTGCATAGTACAAATAGTATGTGAATCGGGATGAATAGCTTTTAAAATATAAAATTACAAATTCAAAAGTTAGCTAAGGCGTAGGCTGTCCTTGTATTTGCTCAAACATGATTTGTGTACTGTATTGTACGGTGCTTTGGTAAGAAAGTGTCTGGTAAGAATGTAAATTTAATGCAATGTAAACAGAAAGCAAGCCAGAAAGACAGAAAGAAAAGAAAGACAGAACAAAAGTCAGAGAACAAACAAATAAAAGACAGCATCAACGTTAGAAACAAAATACAGAAAAACAAAACAAAACAAATCAATCAAACAAATAAAAGATTGAAGGGGAAAAAAGAAAACAAAAATACAATTAAAAGGACAAAAGAAAAAATGAAAAACACACAAACAATAGAAAGAATGAAATGCCACAAAAGAACACTGTCATAAAAACAAACAAAACAGCAAATAAATAAAAGAAACTAAAATAGAACAAACAAAAGAGAAAGAAATAAGCAAAAATTAAAAGAAAAAAAAAAAAAAAGACAAAAAGAGCAACAAAGAAAAATTATACAATGAAAAAAGAACGAAAAACATTTTCAACATACTATGATTTGAGACAAACGTAATCTTAATGGACGACAGGAGTCGATCGTAATCTTGCCTACTGCATAGTTAATCGACAGGAGTTAATCGTAATCTTGCCTACTGCATAGTACAGATAGTATGCGAATTGGGATGCACAGCCTTTAAAAATGCAATGAATATGGATAAAAAGATTTGAAATTATGTAACGATAATGAGTCTCAAGTTACAATCCTGCCAGCTAATCCCCATTAATGCAACATGTATAATCAGTGTCTAATCACATGTATTGATTCTTACTCGTAGGCAGTTTGCTAGGAATGCTATCGTAGCCGCTAAAGGTGTCTGCTCTGCGTGGCAGCAAACTCAAGGACGGACTCTGATTCCCTTCAGTCTGTGGAGATGCTTCCCGAGCTCCAGATGAAAGGAGGTTCTGCAGGTTCTCCGCTACAGAAACAGAGATTCGCTTCAATAACTACATTTAGTTCTCTAATAATCTAGTTTACTAGCAGGTGGAAGATTACATCATGACGCCAATGCTTAGCACAAAAACTAACTCAGCCTGATGTGTTACCTTCAGTAATGGCTCCTTTGAGCAGCTGCTCCCCCTGCTGGAGGTCCGAGGCGTCGCCCCGCAGCAGCAGGCGGGAGCGAGAGCTGGCGTCCTCTAGACCGGCCACAGATTCAGCCAGCTCTGCAAACAACTGAAGCTTCTCCGTGAGGCTCTGGACGATCTGAGCATCCTTCAACGTCAGGCGATCTACAGAAAATGAGTCGCAGATGGAGGGAAATGTGTTAAAGAGACAAAATCATTGATGGAATTTAAATTATTTTAAACAGGAAGAACATTATAAATGTCATAGCACAACATAATGCAAGAAACCATATTTTTGTGGAAAATGTTTTTTCTCAGGATTCATTGATGAAAAGTTCAAAATAACAGCATTTATTAAAAATGTTAAATTTTGTATATATTAACAAATTTTGTCACTTTTAATCAATTCAATGCGTCTCTGTGGAATAAAACTATTTCTTTCTTTAATAAAAATGACTGACACCAAACTTTCAGATTTATCGAACAATTATTTTTTAAAATTATAATTAACAAATATAACTATACATTTATACAAACATACACACATATATATTTACACACCCAATTATGATAGTTATTACTATATATTATATTATTATTAATATATAATAATATTAAATATCATATATAGTTTAGTATATTACAATATATATAATATGCATAATACATAATATTATCAGCATATGCGCTTAAAATACTTATTTTTGACAAAAGATACAAGATTTGCAAGATTTCAGTATGAAAACGCAAGTCCGCCATCTAGTGACAAAAGATCCTTCAAAGCTCATTAAACAAAAAACCACCACACATCATCAAAATGAGCAGAAAAACAAAACAAGATTGTCCTTACGAAAGAGACAAGCCACTCATGGTTTTACCTTGAAACTCTCGGAACCGGGCGACTCTGGCTTCTTCTTCCTCACTAAACAATCTCTCTTCGATATGTGGACAGCTGATGGACAGGAACCAAGGAGGAACATTTTAAAAAATGCAGAGAGAAGTAAATACAGACACATATGTGATTATAGACAGACACAGACCTCTCCACAGCCTGACGAATGTGGGTGATCCACGTGTTGCGGTCTTCTTTTGAGCTCGTGTGGATTTCGTACATCTCAGGTTCGTTAGATGAGGCGCAGATGAGGAACATGGCTCGCTCCTCGTGTGCCACCTCACGCACAATCAACTTCTGCAGTGAAATAACGGAAGGCTTGTTGTCCTAGCGGAAAACAAACACGGATGAGTGCATTCAGATGAACAATTTCTCATCTTGTGTAAACTGAAAACAAAGTGCTTGTACTCACCACAGTCGAGAACACAAATCTCTGGTCCTTTTCTTGCAACAAGATGAGAACATCAGTAAGAAGTAGAGCTAGAATATCTGCAACGGAAGAATCCCAAATGTCAACTGAGTCAAACAGACTTTTCAGACTAACTAAAAAAAAAAAAAATAAAAAAAAAAAAATATATATATATATGAGATGGCAAGAAAAAATATATTTCAATGCCTTTGCATTCTGTCTTAAAACGATTGCATTCTCTTACAAAACATTTGCGCTCTTTTGCAAAAGTATTGCTTTCCCTTGAGAAACCTTGCGTTCTATCTTAAGACTATTATGTTCTCTCTATTAAAGCTATGCGTTCTCTCTTAAAATTGTTGCGTTCTCACACATAACATTTGGGTTCTTTTGCAAAGCCATTACATTCTCTCCCAAGAAATGTTGTGTTTGCTTGCAAAACATTTGCGCTCCCAAGAAATTCTGCATTCACTCACAAAAGCACTGAAGTATAATTTTTCCTCTTTCTTCGTATTATTTGCATTTGCTTGCAAAACTTTTGTGATGTAAAGTTTTTCAGGGGAATGCAAAAGTTCTGCAAGCGAAAATACTTTAAGTATTTGGGGAAACACAAACCCTGTCCCTTGATGGGCTCCGTACTTGTGCATGGAAATTGTGGTTCTCATAATACCTTTGAGTCGACCAGATGCAGCTTTCCAGTTGACCATTCCCTCGTACAAGAGCTTGCGGCGGCCCTGAGAGAGGTCCTCCTTCCGGAAAACACGTCCGTCTTTGATTTTCCCCAGCGACTTGGGCTCCATCTTGGAGACGATATCCCTGAGCCGCGCTTCCTTCTCATAGAGACTGACCTGGGCGTCCACCTGAACGATGGCATCTTTGATTAGACTGAGAGCCTGTGCTAATCCTTCATGTTCCTCTGTCCCGGCTGGAATGAGAAGAAAGTGTTTAGAACCTTGCAAATCCATAATATCTGGATAGTTTCACTGGACTGCAACAACCAACCTTCTGTGTTGTGCAGGATGCGCTCCAGAAGAACAGGATACTTGGTGATTCGCTGTGTCACCAGCAAGATACACTCTGGAATGCCTAACCGCCGCACTATTGACAGATTACTGATTTTCTGAAACACAATAAGGGGAGAAAATGATTCAAAGCAACGCTGAGGAAATGTTAGCAACTTTGAGACGGTTAATATCTCAACATACTCTCATGAGGTTCTGGAACTTCTTGTGGCTCTGCAGCTGCTCTTTGTAGTAGTTGACTGCCTCAGTGTGCCGACTGCAGAAATCCCCATAACTTTCCTTCATTCGCTCTCCAAGCTCTCCGGAAAACTAAAACAAAACAAGCAAAATAACTTCCTGCTTCATACATGCTGTTGTCACACTTCCTGCTTCTTACTTCCTTCTCAATATTTTGTTCTTCACACCTACTGTTGTCACATTTCCTGGCCCACACTTCCAACCTCCACACTTGTAACAAAAGCATATGAGAAACAGTAAGTCTAGGCCAAGAAATGTGAAGCAGGAAGTGTGGGCCAGGAAATGTGAAGCAGGAAGTGTGGGCCAGGAAATGTGACAATAAGATGTTTGAAGCTGGAAGTGTAGGCCAGGAAATGTGAAGCAGGAAGTGTAGGCCAGGAAATATGACAACAGCATGACAGTAAAAGACAGGAAATGTGAAGCAGGAAGTGTAGAACAAGAAATGTGACAAAAGATTGTTTGAAGATGGAAGTGTAGGCCAGGAAATGTGACAATAGGATGTTTGAAGCTGGAAGTGTAGGCCAGGAAATGTGACAATAGGATGTTTGAAACAGGAAGCGAAACCGGAAATGTGAAGCAGGAAGTGTGAAAACAGCATGTGCAAAGGAGGAAGCAAAATAGGAAATGCAGGGCAGGAGGTATGAACCAGGAAGTATGACAACTGCAGGAAGGGGGTGGCAAAAGTGCAATAACAGGATGTGTGAAGCATAAAGTGTAGGGCAGGAAATGTGACAACAGGATGTTTGAAGTAGGATGTGTTAAACAGGAAATCTGAAGCAAGAAGTGCAAGACAGGAAACGTGAAGCAGGAATATTAGGGAAAAAAGTGTGAGATCAGGAAATGTAGATAAGTGAGAAGCAGGAAATATGACACAGCAGGAAGTGTTTTGGCGAAAACACTGAATAAGGATGTTTTTAAAGCATAAACTGAGAGACACGAAATGTGAAGCAGAAAGCATAGGGCAAAAAGGTGTCAACAGGAAGCAGGAAATGTAGGGCAGGAAATGTGAAGCAGGAAGTATGGCACTAAATTTAGGGCACGCACCTGGGATATAAGGATATCTGAGAGTTTATGGATGACATAGTTGCATTCGCTGCCAGGCTGCAGGGACTCTGCGCGACGCTCCCGGAGGCGGGACAGGAAGTGGCTGTGCAGCTCCAGCAGGCTGTCCAGCCGGGGAAACAGACAGTCCAGCCTCCTGTCGTCCAGCTGTAGTGCCTCCCGCAGGTCTCGAGCGTAAACGCGGAGCATGATCTTGAGCGTCCGCACGTGGTGTATCTCCGTCTGGATGAGCTCTGGAGGAGACAGGAACAGCTTTAGAGAAGATCTGGAAAACACTTTCTTGAAGTTCCCAGTGCAGTGTGGGTAGGTAAACAACACTAACCATATATAACATCCTGTCTCTTGATCATTTCCTTCGAATGTTTCTTTAAGAAGTGCTGATCCACAGCCAGATTCCAGGACTCCACCTCGAAATCTTGTGTGATGGCTTCCAGTTCCCCTCGTACTGTGGTGTAATACGCATCTGTGCACAATAACGATAAAGCTCAACATCCACACAGATCCTCAGTACAAAGTACTGCTTTACAAAACCCCCTTCATAAATTACCCATGACACTTTATCATACGTTCTGGGTGTTCTCAATGTTTTGGCTTTGAAAATCAACCCCTCACCTTCAACGATGAGAGACTCGGGCATCGTGGAGGCGAGAGATACGGTGTCGTCAGCGGGGCGCTTCATCCTGAATGCGTCAACTTCATCCATCTCTCCTGTGATAGAGCTGCCAGAGAACATGAGCATGCAAACGCTGCAGTAATTATATAGACATAATATATAATACTATAAAGACATTAAAAAAAAAAAAATTATTAAAACATCAACTAAAATTAAAGTGAAAACAGAAAATATAAAATATAATTAATTAAAAATATATATATATTAATGAAACTAAAACACCACTGGTGTGGATTTAATTTAAATAAAAATATTAATTGAATATATTCTATTCAAATGTAATTATATAATTTAATAAAATATATACTAAATAATAAATACATAAATAATGTGTATTTATATTATAATAAATATATTACATTATAAATATTATTCAATTAATATGTTAACAAATAAATATTAAAGTGCCATGTTAAAACTCATGGATGCACAATATATCGACAAGTATATTCGTAATGGTTGTACTGGTCATATGGTATATTCATAATGTATGTGTGTGTTTTTTTTTTTTTTTTTACATTGTCAGCAATGTATGTGTGTGTTTTTTTTTTTTTTTTTTACATTGTCAGCACAGCATCAGGTTATAGGATTTAATGCATAAAAAAAATAATATACCGATTTATGATATTGCCAATCATAACAACAACAACAAAAAAAAAGTATAATTATTGTTAGTCAAATCACACCTATTTTAAATTGGATGTTTTATGTTGAAAAACTTTAAAAACGTAAAAAGTTATCATTAAACCAGGTGAAATGTATAAATTTATAGTATTAAAACCTTTCGGTCTTGGTCATAATAATAAAAAAATAGTTTTTCACACTGGTGCATCCCAACATGTAGCAATTAAATATTTAGTCATATTTATCGTACAGCTTGTGTAAACCACAGCATGCATGACTGAAGGCACACAGGACTCACCCGCTGTTGTTGTTGTGGCTGACTGTAGGGTTGCTGGAGGCGGCTGGTTGGGTGTTGTGTCCTTTGGGTGGAACGGTCATACCTGAAGCACAGCGAGACGTCCTGGACGAGCCATCGACGTGAGTCAGGGCAGAGCAGGGGTCCCTCAGAGCTGCAGAGAAACCAGACGGGTCAGTGCGGTAGCAGTGCCTCAAAAACGAGCGAGGCATCGAGTCGAGGAAGCGGTAGGTGAGTAAGTCACGATGGAGCAGGACTCGAACCCCGAGCCAGGAGACAGGGACACGAGCGCTCTTCCTCTGAGAACCACGGACTCTGGGTAAAGCCAGTGCCATGATGCCCGACTCTAAACTGGATATCAGAAAACACTGATGGAGAGGAAGACGGTAGGCTTTATAAAGTGGAGAGTGGCTTGTAGAAATCACACATGCGCCTTCCCGTCTCGCCTCCCTCCCGTCACTGTCCTGTTGAGCCGGAGGATGCTTTGATGCAACAGGCGAGGGTCTGTGTCTCACCGTCAGATTAGTGTGAGCATGTAAACCATTATCATCTCCAGAGAGAACCTGACAGCTAATGAGTAATAATGTTAATTTGAATAACAAATAATTATTTTTTGTGTTAAGAAATATTAATAAATTCAGCTTTATTAGGCTATGCAGCAAATTAAACATGATAAACAATCTTATAAAATGAAAATTTTTAAATGCTGCATTTGTATTTAATAAAATTATAAACATACATGTACAGTAGTAGTAATAATAATAATAGTAAAAAAATGCAATATAATAGCATATTCTTAAATGTTTTTATTTTTAGAAATATCTATAAATATTATATTTTTATATTAATGAATACTTCTTTTATATTAAAAATCTAAATGAATTTAACTTTATTAGCCAATGCAGCAAATTAAACAAACACATAATAAACAACTTAATAATAATAATAATAATAATAATCATCAGTACTTCATAATTAAAAATATATAATAAAAATTATGTATTTTGTGCATTTTTAAATAGTTTTAATATATTTTAAAATTTGTATAAACTCGCCTAATTTAAAATGTATTAAACCACCCTAATAAAATATTTAAATGAAAAATTAATTCATTTAATCAATTAATACATTTTTTAATGAACATGACATAAAAACTACAGGTCTCAAAATTCAAGCTATCCTATCTCTATCGCATTTATGTCTGCATTGTTTGTATTGCTGCCAAGTTACCAATATTCAGCTGTAGCCCCTTTATGCAATTACAAGAAAATGTGCTTCCAGAAGGCTCTGGGTGAAGCAGGACATTTCCAGATGTTTTCCGCTGGGAAGTGAAGCATTACAGGCTTCATCCGCGGTTCCTAAAGCAATTACCACCTCGGCCGCGGTCACAGCGGGAGCTGTTTAACGAGACCTCCAGAGCTCAGGAGGAAATCACCACACCGCACTACACTAGCAAACAACACATCGTCTCGATACAGAGGGTCCTCCGGTTTATTTCATGACACAACCTTACAAAACGACAAGAGCAGAATGGCTGGGAAGGAAAAAGCTACCATCAACTTACTTGAAATGCTACTCTTCTACTACTACCAAGTACAATTGTGTCCAAGCCACAGCATGAGCAGTAAATCTTGATCAGATTTGTGGGGTAATTAATTGGAGAAGCGTGATTAACCTCTTAAGTGCTTCTCTGAGTGAAGGTTAAAACGAGAACAACAGCCAGATGACCTTAATTTGCTCTCAGGGGACTCCCATCAGCATCTGCTGCCCAGCGTCCATTAAACCAAACAAGCTCCTCGTGCAGCTGCGAGACTGGACTAAACAGCAGATTAGCAGAGGAAAAACTGAGGGAAATGTTGTTTTTGAGATCATTTACTGGTGCTTATTAACCAGCTTATTAACCAGTCACATCTCACTTGTTGTACATTATGCCAGTGTTGTTATTGTTAACTAGAACTAAAAATATAGAAAATTATTTTTTAAATTGAAATAAAGCAGAAATAAAGCAAAATATAAATGTTAGATGAAAAACTTAAATGAAAATTAATAATGTTATGCTATGGCAACTAACTGAAGCACTAAAATGACTAAAACTGAAAAATAAAAACTAAACAGAAATATAAAACAACAACAACATAAGAAAATGACAAGCACATAATTACAAACTAAAATGAAAAAATAAAACGAAAATGAAAATATTTTTTAAAAAGCGCATTCAAAACTTTAAGAAATATTAGAATAGTATATAAATAAAACTAAAACAACACTGTTGCACACGTAATTAAACACACTCAGCAAAAACGTCCATTCTCACAAAGCATTTGAGAAATCCAATTCAATTTAATGAATTGATTCGTTCGAGTTAATAATTTAAATGAACCAATTAAAAAATTATTTACTCGCTTAAAAATGATTCACTGACTCAAATTATCTACAGATTAAAAAAAAATACATTAACAAATGTAAAAATGATTTACCAATTCAACAACGATTCAGCAATTCAAAAACTGATTCAGCCATTCAAAACTGATTCAGCCATTCAAAAACAATTCACACATTCATTTGACTCCCCAATCCTGATGCCTGTGTGACAATTTACAATTAAATTATGATTTTATAGTTATAAATATTAAAAAATAACAATAATTTTACAAAATATCAGTAATATTTTATCAAATTCTATCATTCATTACTAGGTTTTCTGGATTTATTGATAATATTTAGAGTAAATTACTTGGTTCAAATGCTGTTTAATGCTGTTACAGCACTTTAACAGAGATTCTTATCATTTTTGTTGAAAACAATTTGATTGAAAAAAACAAAAAAAACAACATGATTTAAAACCACAGTGCCCAATTAAATAAATTCAATATTAACCCCCATAACCTTGTAGTGTTTTTCAAAATGGTCTTGACTGTAGTTTAACTACTTTCAGTATCATTACATTTACAAACCTACAAAATAGTTTCACAAAGTCTTTAGCATCAACATGCCATCGTTTCAAGGATATGACACGATATATGATATGAACGCTAAAAACTGCTTACCTTGACTATGCGACTGAGCTGCGGCGTTTGACGTCTTCTGCGCCGAGTGAAGAAAACAAACAAACACGGTTTTACTAACACAGTGAGCGGCTTAGTTTATCATTTACAGCAAACCACACCCTGCCACTCCTCTGACCAAAGATAAACTCGTTTACTGTCTGTAGGAACTTGATTCATTTGATTCAAACAAACTCAGTGTGAAGTTTGTTCGGCTAAAAGTCGAAATGTGAACGAATCTTACCTTGTTTTTGCTGCTGCACTCGGGCAGCAGGTTCTTGCAGCTCTTGTGGACGTTGACGGCGCAGTCTGATGTCCAAACACAGATCCCAGCGGTGGAGAGAGGGACAGGTTAGTGCTCTCTTATCAAAACCAGTTTATCAGACTGTCCCATAAACTGAGTTTACATGTGAAGGGGAGGACTTGAAGAACAGGGGCGAATGTCGTAATGCTGCGGGACAGTTATGTTTCACAATACTTCTTTCATTTTATAAGAACATCAAAGAAGTAATATTCGAAACGCACTAATAATTCTGGCAGGCATTTGTATTTAAAAGTATAATCAGATATACAATAAAGTGTTTTTTTTTCTCCATAACGTTGGTTTCTGCTACAAGACCTGATAACGCCAGCAAACAAACTATCTGTGCAGGTTTATTGGGGTTAGAGAGCTTTCAGAAGCACTCATTATTATCCATTCAAAAGACCTCTGCCACATCCCTGTGGGCCATTTTCCACTTTTCACCCCAAAAAGGGACTGATTCCGTCCATTTAGCCACAAACCTAAATAGAAACACAACAAACTGAGGGTCCGATCAATGCCTGCTACTTCACAGGACCTCCAGAACATCTGACAAACTTCATCTTATACAACGGAACTTTAAGACACTTCATTCCATAGAAACATGAAAACTGACAAATATGTAACAAAATCTAAATTTGTAGCTTTTAGTCCATGTCTATTGGTTTTGAGGACATTTATATAAATGCTAGTGTGAATGCTGAATTTCCAGCAGACGTATACATTTAAGTGCACTTTAATTCTTTCTCAGCTAGTTCAAAACGCCATATATAACTTTGTCCAACAAAATGCTGTCAAAAATGAAAAGGTCTCGATTTTATACTAAATGCAAGCATATAGCTATAATATGTTGCTTAGATAATTATTCCACAACCATTCATACTGATGTAAGAAATGTGTAGCTTAACAATTAAACCGCTTAAAATTTGTTCACTGTATTATTTAGATAACGAAACCACTCTGCATAAACAATGGCATGAATAATAATTATTATTATTATTACTACTACTACTAATACATTTTAAAAATTGTAAGTTATATTAAAATATCCATAATTAATGAAATACTCCATAAGTCTTTGTTGAAGCATAACTATAATTTAGTTATTGTCAAAAAACAGAAAAATAAAATAAAATAAAATGGTTCATTATTATTATTATTATATTATATATTAATATATTACATTAATATTTCACACAAATTAATCCAAATAAAATAGAAGTAAAAAAAAATTAACATCTGTTTTTAAACACAAACATGGCATTATATTAGATAATATTTTCATATTAGAATATTATTCATGCATAATATTATATATCATGCATGAATAATAATGCATAATGTTATTAAAAATAAAACAGAAGAAAAAAAATTCAATCCAACAGTTTTCAGACAAAAATGATCTATTATTAATCATAAAAATTAATCTCAGTTGATCTTTATTCTTTAATAAGCATTGTTATTAAATCATTTAAACAAATAATAATATATTTGAATTCATTTTTAAAATGTAGAATAATTAAATACTTTTTTTTTAATTGTTGAGAAACGTAAACAATATATTATATAATATAGCTAGCAGATCGCATTGAAACAAGTTCAAATAAACCCTTAGAAATGTATCCAGTCAAGTCCAGACCAGCATCAACTGTTAGAGGCAGAATTCCAAAATCCCATTCATTTTAGCAATTCAGCAAATCACTTTGATTCTTAATAATAAATGGAAATAGAACACTTCTGTCTGTGACCAACATTAAGGAAGTCCAGAGAAAGGCTTTATTCAAAGATCAAGATCAAGTGAACGTCTAATGACTTTCTGGAACGTCAAATACGCCTGAAAACGGAACAGGAACTTGAACTCCACGATTAGCTCCCTGAGGATCATTCATAATCCTGTTATCACATCACATGATCCGCTCGCTGGAATGTGAACGTGGGTGTTTTAAGAAGCGTGACGTGGTTATTTATCTCACGCTCTGACAAACACCTAAAAACCAGCTTGGGTCAGCAAACCTGGGACATCAAAGCGCAGCTTCAGAGGAGCCGACGGGACGGGTGCACCTGACAGCGCTCAGGCATGCGGAGGGGGGACTCACTGAAGTGAGCGACTGCTGCCAAACACAGTTAGCAGCATGTGAGCGTCCAGCTTAAGAACAGCTCCATCAGGACAGGAGGATCTCAAACACCATTATTCCTCCAAAAACAGACTGAAAGTGCCTACAAATGTCAACAAAACCACAAGAATTACACTGAAACAAACTCTTCGAGTATTAAATGACTCACATTTGCTGCTTCCAGCTACATTAATCTTTTACTTCTGAATCACAAAATAACACATTTCAGAACACCACAAGGCCGAATTAACTATTAATAAGATAGGATGTAATATTCAACACATTAAAAAAGAAATGTAATGTTAAATTAGAATTCAAATATTCAAATTCTTGATTTTGTCCAACTTCAAAATTTAAGGCAAGCATTACTAACACTATATTCACTTTTACCAGACGGTATTTTCCCCCAGATTTCAAAACAAATTTACATAAACATTAATAAATAATAATTATAAAAATTTTAATATTCATGTCTATTAATATAGTATAATCATAATTTAGTTAGTGTCAATAAGAAATAAATAATTACAACAATCAATCCTACATATCTGTAACTGCACAACAAATAATCTGCATTGTAAACAGAAACTTAAATAATAATGTAAATAATAGTAATAATAAATGTGATCATAAATAATAAGTAATAATAAATATAATGTAATATTATATATCAATAACATATAAATGATTGTTTTACATTTAAAAATATAAATAAAAGTATATTTAAATTTATTTGTGCAATAAATAAAATTGTAAAACTGATTATTTAATTATTTTTGCTTTTTGACAGTAAATAAATGATTATACTACAACAACAGACAGATGTATTGTGAATTTTTTAAGTTATTAATATGCTTTGTAAAAAGAAACTTAGCAATATAAATGTTAATAAAAATTAAATAAATATAGTGTAATATGAATTATGTACACATTATTACTATTAACAATGTATATTTTTTATTAAAAATATATACATTTATTAATGTTTATTTCTGGTTTTGGACAATAACAATGCTGATTATACTATAACAAATGACAGATGTGGTTATTTTAATTTATTATTATGCATTGTAAATAGAAACTAATAAACATTTCTCATGGACTGTAACGTATTATGATTTATTATAGTATATTATATACAGTATTTTTAATAACACAATAAAAAAATACATTTATTGTTAAATCAGAACCAAAATGTATTTATAAAAAGTGATGAATTTGTATAATTTTATATTTCATTACAATTACTATTCACTTTTACTACAGATTTTTCCCCCCTAACTTACCACACTTACAATATTTGCCTGGTGGACAATAACTAGCAAACAACAACAACAAGAGACAACACACCCTAGCAACCACATAACAACCTGCCAGAACACCCTAGCAACTCATTCTGGTGGCAACGTGATGCCATTATTGATTAGCTGGGTCTTGTGTTGCAATGTTTACATGTTAATTTTTTTCTAGCTGCACACAATGATCTCAATGTAATGCAATTAGCCAAACGAACGACTACGATGAAGAAATTAACGACAGTGATGAATAAAGCCTGCCAACTAAAATGTCTGCGAGTGTTTGACTGAAGTTCCTGAAGTCCAGCATAAACACTGACCTGGTTGACTAGCCAATGAAACTAAACACAATGGCCAGCTGACCTCTTAACCAGCAACTGAGCAAACTTTCAGCTATTTTAACGCAACTGTCATTTAAAAAGTTAAAAAGAGCCACCTGTAGCTGAACATTTACCTAAAACGCAGCCGTTCGAAAAGAGTTTGAACGTGTTTTAGCAGCTCTGTGTTTATTAGCTCTGTTAGCAAACACCTGTTACTCTGAACAAACTCACCGTTTATGACGCCGTGGACGCGCTTTACGGCCTCGTCACCTCAAACATCACTCAGGTTACTATGACAGCCACACAAAAACACACGACACATCACCTGGCAACCTAAAAAAGCAGCGCCAATCGCGACTGCTGTATGTAGATTGACTGTCCCAGTACTGCGCCGCGCGGCATTATGGGACAAGAGGCGCATTCCACACAGGCTGAGTCCCAAATTTAAAGCGACAGGCGCGATTTTGGAATGTTTGGAGTGGTTTGAATTTTCAGTGTGGTTGTGAGTCAATAAATATGAAAAGAAATAGTAAAAAAAATTTTTTTGATATAAATATAAAATACATTTTAAAAATATATTTTATAATTTTAATCTTCCTTTTATTTTCACATATTTTAATGAATCATGAATGGATGAGAAAATCTGTCCATCCATCCATCATTTTATCCATTCACTAAAAGATAACTAAAAAAAAAAAGGGAAAAAAAAAAAAATAAACT